AGAGAGAACGAGACAAGAAGGGAAGATTACAAAAATGAGGCGCTGGTGGTGGCGGCGGAACTGGGACAACGCAGCAAAGAATTGGCCTGGTTGGTTGGTTGATTTCTGACTTCGAAAGTGAAATATTCCGAAGCATATTTGTTTCCAATCCAAACGTGACGTTTAACGCTATGCCATGTACGTGCACGAGGTATGTATGTGGTTTCCCATCGCTCATTCGCATCCCTGCAGCGTGTAGTAGTAGCGATTGAGCAATGTGCGTGCAGGACGTATTGAAGTGTTGTCGCATTGCTTGCAGAGCTTCCGAATGGGCTAGGCTGTGCTTGTATGTGATGGAGATGTAATAAAAAGGATGAACATACCGCGAGCGAGGTGAGCGTCCCCTGTTCCCATTTGTACCTCCGCAACAACAAAAATCGCGAGAAGTGCGTCTTCCGGCAAAACGTTTAAGATGGGTGGACCTGGGTTAATTCTGAAGGCTGACCAACATGAATGTGTATGTACCCTCAAGAAAAACCCGCTCTAAGATTTGACGGGCAGCACCTGCTTAAACCAGACGCTGTTCTCCTTGTCCACTTCCACCCAGAGTTGCTCTGGGGGCGCGATGTTGATGCAGAAGCGTTTCAGCTGGTCGGCGGAGCCACCGTACACCTGTGTGTCGTTACCAGTACAAGAAACGAACACGGTGAGAGAAAGGGAGGCGGAGAGAGAGAGGGAGAGAAACAAATGACAGATGCCCCAAGATTAGCCTCATGCCTAGATTGTGCTCGAGTGAAGAGATAAGCCGGGACGAGAACGACAATCCATCAAATACATGCGTACGGCAGACATTGCGAGATCCACCTTGAGACTTATCACACCGGAACATGGAGGAGCAAACAATCTGGTGTGTTGTTGCCCTTTTTGACCGCCGAGATGAAAACGCTGCACAGATAGACCATGCCACATCTGTATTGACAACCCACAGAGCTTTATCGACTGAAAACACTCGCGCTATTCCTGCTCCTGCTGCCCTTTTCACCCCGAGCCCAACCGTGTGTACCGTCTGGGCCAGGCTACCAACAACAAAAATATCAAACACCCGTGCGTTTCGTTGCCTAGAGGAGGAAACACCCATGGCAGTCAACATATTCTGCTAACAACAAGAGCCGCTCACAACAAAAGGCACAAAATACTTCACACTGACTGGTGGTTTATTGAAGCAGCAGCCGCGGGGTAGGGGAAGCAGAAGCGGCAGAAGACACACTCTCATTGACGTAATGGAAAGAGCGAGGTGATTGACCCCATTGAGGTCGGGAACAACGATACCAGCGGGGTCATCCACCGTGGAATTTTTATGCACGTTTTTTGGACGAACGGGAACAAGTGAACCACGAGCAGGTCCCCGGTTTGACGGACGAATGGCCCAACTGACCTTGGGCGCCGGCCTCCTGAATATATGAACGACATCCCCCTTGGTCGAGGCGGGCTTCAACTTGACAGCAGTCAAAAAGGCCAGAGATCTCCTGTAGCGGAGATCCAGCTGTTGTCTCCAACCAACAATGAAGGGCGGTCGCGACAGAAGAACGAATGAAGCGGACAGAAGAAGCGTGTTTCGTGAGAATTCCACGTGAACCTTTGCTACTTTGCCTCATTAAGCATGATAGAAAACGATGTCTTATCCGGTGCCCCCGTACTACTCTTCATGCTCAAAGGTCCACCAAGAATAACAACAAAAGAACTGCGGTGCCTGCCTTTGACGAGTGCTGGCGGTGGAAAGAACGGCATACCATGTATGTCGTCTCTGTATCTCCATCAACACACAAAAGAAGGTTGTGCGAAAAGAAGGAACGACAAACAGACGATCGGGCGATGCGATAGCCTTCATGGAGGGGATTTCCACAGTCAGTCGTGAAGACAAGAAGAATAAAGAAGAGAACGCACCCCACGAAGGCTCCANCCCCCCCCCCCGAGCGAGTTCTATCGTCAGAGGACTCCAACATGCGTGATCATGAGCAACCTCCTTCCAACGAAAACAAGGGGGCCACAGACGAAAAATGCAAGCGTACGGCGGCGGAGCGTACGGATTTTCGATTCGCCAGAGAGGAGACTACGGCCTGTCGGCTTTCTCGTGCAGTTACGTTTCTAATGATCGACTCACCATCCACCCTTCTGCATTCCGGTGTCCCGGTCACACTACTCACGAGAGACTACTCACTCACCGGTTTCTGGAACCTGATGGTCGTCTCGTAAGTGTTCCCCAGCCTGTAGAAGAAGGTGATGCCGCTGGCTTGCATTTGCTCCTGGATGTGGTGCCAGTTAGCCCTGACGAGGGGGATGCCCGCGATGAAGACGGTGTATACGGCAGCCGTGGCGACCGCGTCCTTCCAGGCATCGCCCGAAAGCCTCTTCGTGAGGCTTCCCTGCATGATGCATGACGATGGCATGTTTACATAGTTCATCAGTGATGACGCTGATTGATATCGTGGCCTTTGTTTTCTCTTCTTCGTTTGTCTTTACCTGCCGCTGGTGTACCTTGTAAGGAAGTGTACAGGGTTTGTACACTGGTATGTCGATGTTTCTGGCTCACCCCTGGCCAGGCTTGCTTTGACTACTACTTAGCAAAAACGAGCACCGAGGGGCGTGGATGCGCGCGTGTGTGTGGCAGCCCCAAAAAACATCACGACAAAACCTACCGAGATACTGTACATGAATAACCGTAAGATATCGACTGCCTATATGCATGCTGTCGAGCTAGCTGTGTTATTTCCCCGAGGCTCTGGTCTCACGCGGAGATTGTTACGAACAAGAGTCTCAAAGAGTCTTACGGGCGGTCCTGACAACTGAGGCGTCCGGTTATGAACCAAATGAACATACGCGGCACGCTCCACAGCCCTCCGAAGAGCGAAAGTGGCACTACTTTTCCTTCGTTGCTTCTCTCTGGGTTGATATCACAGAGGAAATACAGCAGTGGTACGTGTTACCGTAACCTTGGGACGATCATGTCATTTGCTCTTCGGGCAGGTATCCATATATGTACAACATCGCTTAATATTGTAGATACCACCCCCACCCGCCAACGGACCGCCACCAACAGCATGTAGGCAACGAGCTTTTGCTCTATTCCCAAAATCCTGGGTGGCTTTCGAAAGGTCAAGCCGGAGACGCATCAGTCGCCTTTCGCAACTTCTCTCTCTCTTCCTCTCTCTCTCCCTCTCTCTCTCTCTCTCTCTCTGCTTTGAAATGGGTCGGAACGGGTGGTGGTTTCTCGAGGGGTCACCACACAGATCGATTTGTCCGCAGGCACGTTGGTTGTCATATTCGGGGGCAGCGAGAGTATCGGAGGACAGGTCGAGCCACGCAGCCTGAAATCTACAAGCGCTGCACAACGAGAGTGCCAGGCGGGCCACACGCGTTGAATGTGTATCTGTCGCTCGCGCAGCATCACAAACAGCTTGGCCGGTCTGTGCTGCAGAAGCGCCACGCTCGCTGGTGGGAATTATGCATGCTTCCGATGCATGCGGCAAAAAAAGGCAGAGGACACAACACTACATGCTGTATATGAACGATATAACACAACAGCAAACCACCTGACTCGAGCCTCACATGCATGCGGTTGCCCTCCAGCTTCATCAACGTATTGATGAACTCCATGTTCACGACACACGAGTGAGAACTGCGCGTACTGCTGTAGTACGGGCCGATGCCGAATGCGTAGCTCGAATCGCGCCGCAGATCAACCTTCTGTGCTCTTGAAGGAGGAGTGCGCTGGCAGCTTTGTGTCTCGTGGAGGCCTCTTGTGCAAAGCTGGTCGGTGCGCGGTGCTCAACAGGAAGACTTGCCTGACCACTCGCAAAGCGACCTGCTGCTGTTCTGCGCGTAGAGGAGGCACGCTTGGTTTGTTTGTGGTAGTTTGATGTGCTGTGGCAAGTTCGTTCTGCGATTATATTTGCAGCACGTGAAGATAGGCAGGAATGGTCCGGAGATTCTTTAGAACCGAAGCGGACCACCACCGACGCACGGAACGTGATGTACATAAATCAGGTGGACGGACCAACGGATACTCTAGTCTACAGAGGTGCTGTGAGCGTGAGTAGAGATCGGAACGGGTTTTCGTGTGTGATAACATTAATTTGCAACAACACAACAACAAGACTATCCCCAAAACTTTGATGACGCCGACTAAATAGAGAGCGACCGTCCCAATAATGCGGCAGCGCAGAGCCGAGAGGGATGGACCGTGGTTCTTTTTGCGAGTCGTTCGTCATTGTTGTCCGCGGCCAACCTGGAGCGAGCACAGCAGTTTCACTCTCTCTACCTGTTTTATTTTGTTTTGTTCAGTCTAGTTCACTTTCTTAGTATCACCAAACGAATCCATCCCTATCTTTCGATGGAAAACGAACATCACATTATGTTACCTAACCATTTGAATGAATCCTGATCGGCAACAGGTACCACCACCGCCGTGGTTGTTAAATGCCCCTCCCGCCCCCCCAACAAATTTCAACTCGCCCGGAAATCATATTCTAGTCAACTTTACTCGTCCAGGTATTGCGGAGGTCCATCTACTGGACGCCATTACACTCAAATCTCATCTCACAATTAACGGTGTTTGTCGTCGTGGTGGCAGTCGATGTGCCACATACTGCTGTACATCCGACGGAGGTGAAATCCCATTACCGTCCAGTGAATATGAATATGTATGCATACTGCCTAGCGCTGGCAGCAGGACATCGCAACGTTCGAGTTGCACACACACACCCACACTACATAGCAGCAACTTTGGGTACAACGAAAATGGCCACCCTCCTCTTCGAAGCATCTCTTCGAAAAGCGGCGGGCAACCTGCGCGAACATTCTACTAGACAGAGTTGACTACTTTTTGCGTCAGTCTACGTGAGTGAGGGGGTTGGGGGGTGAGGAGGGCCTTCGACTATGGCCATTCCGCGGTTGAAGCGCAGGACAGGAATGGCTGCGTAAGGCGCAGTTGTCATGCTGCGGGTGACCCCCCTCTCCCCCAAGTACCCCGAGGGTCAACTCGATCGATGACAAGGGGGTGGGTGGGGACTTGTTTTCGATCTCCTCTCTGAAGCTCGACCCCCGGGGCCAACCAGCAATCAATGCATTCTGGTGACAGGAAACTCTGGTACCGGACAAGATGCGCCTTGAAAAATAGGGAGGAGCACAACACACACCAAACCGAACTGTCGGAAGGTTGCCCCGGCGGGAGGGTTGTAACTAGCTTGAAAATAGGACCCTCCGTGGCAAACTCGGCGATAGGGGGGGGGGGGGGGGGGGG